TTTTTTTTTTTTTCCTTCTTTTTTTAATTCTGATAAATTCCTTCACTTTCGACACAATGCTATACTATACAATAAACGGATATTGAGAACGACGGTCGATTCTTCGAACGTTACATTAAAACTCTAAAATGTACTCCCGCGAATGTCATATGTAGAACAAACAGAAAGATGAAGAAAGATGTGATGGAACTCTATGCAGTTGCTCTTGAATATTCCTTTATTTTAAGTAACGCAATCTCATGCCAATGTTTATCAATAATTAGTCATACGTATATATGTTAGAATAGCACACGTATTGAAATCATTAATGAATATATTCGTTTGTTTCAGGAGAACATCGCGGGGGCGTTATAGCCGGAAACGCGCGTAGTAGTAGCGAAAGAGGACGCATTTCCGCTTACAGCGGAGCCTCTGATCACGCCGATAGTATGGACAATCCTTCCTCGCGGGAAGATATTTCTGAAATGTATGTTCTTCGTATTTGCACAAGGAATTGCCGAAAGGAATCGTTTTCTTTAAATTGCTTCGATCCAATTCCGTTGGTCTTCACAGTAAACTTAGCAACGTTTAAAAATTCTTGCGGCAAATCTTTGCGTTTCCCTTTCATTCGTATCGTCTCATCGCAGCAGTTTTCTTAAACCCGTCGGATGAAACAAAAAGCATCGTACAAATTTGTTTTCAAGTTAATTTTCATCCTTAGTAGTTAATTTATCAATTTTATAGCGTTTCGTTTATCCTTGTCAGTTTGTCAAAGGTAGTGCAATTTTCCCAAGACGTAAAGAAAACTTCGATTCGATATCGTAGATATTTATTGAATTGCGTTTTTCATTTCCATTCGCGCGCAATCGCTTAGCTCATTTCTGTTATAGATATTAATTTACGCTTTGTTAATTACGATTACTTAGGGTCCAGCAAAATATTTCCAGTAAGCCAAAGACGTCAAACATAAACAGGTCTGAAAGTTACAAGGAGCGGATACATCACAAGGTAAGAAGAATTTCTTCCAACAATCTTTTAGCATGAAATTTTTCTAGCGTAACGTATAAAACGGGGACGATTCACCGGGACGAATTAACATCCCGAGACACGCAAAATATCGGCCGAGTTCTCGCGAAATTTATTATTACATAAATTTTCGATGAAACAAGATTTCGTCTCTGAGTATCATTGCAACTGTTCTCATTGCAGCGACAGCTACGAGAAAAGAGGAAGACCAGCGATCCAAATCTGTCAAAAACGAAGTGAGTACAACATTTTATTTAATAACGTACGATCCGATTGATAATGCATGCTCTGACTTTAATTCCCTGGACGGAAAGATTCTTAGATTCTTAGATTGTTCAGAGCTAATTTTTCATAAATTTATCATTAGAAAAAATTTTATATAAACTTTAATTCAACGAAATTATTAGTCACGGGACAATGAACGATTTTTCAAACTGTCTCAACTGCTCAACTGTATCAAACTGTCACTGCTGCCTCATTACGCAATTGTATAATTGCCAAAATAGAAACGTTACGAAGATCGGCACTATTTCCAAACGAATTTGGATTTCACATTGATGCCTACGTACCATGAATGAGGAGTCT